CTGCACACTGAAAAACTGATGGTCGGGATTGACGGTACCTAATTTTTTCTTGGAACTCCCGACTCTACGACCTTGTGAGGGCGAGTTCCAGAGCGTAGCCAGAGTAGAGTATCTTGGCTGTGTACCTAGGCTGTAACATAGTATCAGGACTATTGGAGTGTGGGACTGTTGGAGAGTGTCGGGTTGTAATAAACAAGTTACCTCTACAAGTGTCTCCGGAACCCGTTACACATGAACAACTGTAGGTCACCACGCAATTCATAGAAACTTTGCAATACCGCTCCCCAGCCTATTAAACGAATGTCCGTGTGCGATATGGCAGTCTTCAGGGGTTCTGACCATTTTCAAGAAGGCAGTTGAAGGGCCTGTGGGTCTGGCCCCTTGCGTGAATGAAATTAACGGTGTTTGTAACCACGGCCAGCACATTTCCCATTTGCAATGTTTTATGACACAGTGCTTCCTGGTGTAAAATGCACTGCACACTGAAAAACTGATGGTCGGGATTGACGGTACCTAATTTTTTCTTTGTGACAACTCTAGCTCTCTTACCCACCATGCATGGTGCTCCGTCTGCGGCCAAACTCATAGCTTTTGACCAGTCTACACCCAATCTGTCCATGGCACCCACCTAACTAGTGAATATATGTACAGCTGTGGTTTGGTGTCTTTCATGGGAACCACCTCTACAAACTCCACATATTTTGATCAACATCACAAATGAAAACTGTTAAGTTGTGCCACGTCAGTTAAATCCGTGCTTTCATCAATGGAAACCGAAAATGCATAAAATGACTGCGCGCTGTCCATAAGTTGCTCATTAATATTCTTCAATATATATCAATGACACTCTCAGCGACTGTTTCTGCAGAGGCTAATATTAGCAAAGGCCTGTTGCTTTTCTGGACATATTAAATCTGCATTGATAAACATGCATCTCTCGATTATGCCTCTGCAGAAACATTGTGCAGTTATAGAGCTAGCTTTAACTGACGCCTCACTTTCGTGAAGAGGGACTGCTGCTTTTTCAACGATTTCTCGAGTTCGTCAACTGTGTTGGCACGCATCTTCCCAGGGTATTTGTTGTATTTTTCTGCATAATTGGATTCACAATGTTTGGTTTTAATTAACCTCCACTAATAAATATGAATTCCTCCATTTTATTGGACAAATCTACACATCTTGTCTACCTTCCTTTTCTTTGATAACATAAGGCAATACGAATTATATCACAATGAAAAAATAATGATCTTTTTCCATACATTTTAACTTTGAATTTCAACCGGAGATTGAAATGGGGGATTTGGCGCGCTGTGCCTCAAATTCAAAATCTGAAAGCGTGGGAAAAAAAATAGATAAATTTCCGTTTAAATTTCAGGTTGAATTTAGGTAGAGGCTTTAAATATATGTATATAAGTAAGTTGTAGCATTTTTTAAATGGTTTGGGCCAGAGAAAGGGGCTTGGGGAGCCAGGTACAGCCCACAGGTCGTGTTTTTGACACCCCCGCCCGAGTGGCAATGTTTACACATCGCAACAGGTACTCATTTGAGGCTGAGCCGACCTCGGGGAAGCCCAAGACTGGTTAAGATAATCACTGGTGGTGGTGGCCGTGAGCGGGAATCGGAACTCGGGTTGCTGGCTTCGTAGCTCAGCACGTTAACCGCTACACTCACGCGGGGACAGGTAGATAACCCTTGATTAGAGTAAACACAAAATATCTAGACACAGCACGAGTGGGTTAGTTGGATACATTCCACTGTTCTGCTCACCGTATAAAACTGCACTAACCAGCGGCAGCCAGTCTACAAAATAGACAAGCCAACCCGAGTGATTGTGGTCACAGGTGAGAGAGAGCCAGTCTCTCGCCCGTGCCACTCCACCCATCGTACGTGCACAAGTAACCTGGCTGACCACATGACAATGAGTGACCCTGGCAACGGATCCTTGCCTCACGAGGTATGCAAAGATGCCACTTGGACACGTTAAATAATTTTATCTTCGCACACTTTTTTATTTTAGCAGGCAAAGCCCACTGAGCTGTATATTTATTTTTTCAGAAACGGTCTGGCCGCATATGATAGCTCAACGAAGTGGCTTACCATGTGGACATTTCTAGCAGTAAAATAGTTTAAGCGTAATGTTGATTCTAAAGGTGGAGGGAAAACCCAGAGGACCCAGAGGACACAAAGGCGCTTGTGTTCAGGGCACGTAATATGCCGATGAAACTCGCTGACAGTACAAGCGATTATCTTTGTTACGTCGAGGAGACATTGCGTATTTATTGTGTTATTTTGTAATTCGGTTCAAGGTGAGTTGGCTGCAGTTTTCAGCTTGGATGGGGATTAAGTACATATTGTAACACGGTAAGAATTGCACAATGGAACAAATGTAGTGTGTGTTAGGTTAAAAGTGTAACAATTGTAGAGGAAAACAACGTGAAATCTACATTTTAACGACAAAAATAAGCCACAACTTATTTAACATTAAAATGTAAAATATAAAGGATACTTTGACGGTCTGTATTATGAGCTTCAAACTCATTTATATTCAAAGTAACCAATCGGTGACTGATTAATGGATAGACTACACAGGTGTTCGGGACGGTGGCTGGGAACCTCAACACGCAGGATGTTAGGGCACACGGCAGCATTTTATTTATCAAACTGATGCCCTATTGTGCAGAATTACAGGGAAAATATTACGAAGGGAAACCCTGATTACCAAAAAAACTCATATTCACAAGGATTTTTATACACACATCTCCGAGTAAGATGGTTGGCTAGGTACGGTGCGAAAGAAGTTCAACATACATAAGTACAACATATTTTAGTCCATCGGCACGATTGGATTTTCAGACCAATATTATGTAGCAGCATTTGTTTAAACAAGCTAACTTTTGGACTGGTGTCGACCTTTCTCGTTCTCATCAGCAGAGTAAAACTTGATAAATTCAGCAGTATTGAAATCACTTCAAAAATTAACGTAACAAATTAATCATGCATTTCCAATCAGCACCCAGGAGAAGCTTTGTGATTTTGAAGGTGTGAGTCGAATAGCCACAGATTTAATGGTAAAACATAGGTGATATTTATAGTTTCCTGTAGCAAATCATCTCTTGTAGTTTAGAGTAACTTCGAATGGTTATCAATAAACACATTCCAGTGTACTTTAACACATTTAAAAATCGCAATGACAGCTTATAGAACGCATAATTATTGTTATTAAAGTCTATCACACGTGCCATCACAATTTCTCAACATTTTATAAAACGGCACCAGCCTCCAGGAGTGCAAAAATTGACGGACTCTATTCCACACGCAAACGTGTTACAACACTTATGCACAAGGTAATCTAAAGGGCACGATTGCAACATCTAGACATTAATCATTTATACTGTTGTTTGTTTTGTATTCTCATGAACCGGCGACACTGTTGGTTTGTAGAAGACAATCATGGATTGTGTCCGGTGATTAACCCTGAGCTAAATGTTCTTTTCAAATTCCATAGGCAAAGGGATTTGGGATGTTCATGGAATAGTGGGTAGTTATGGTTGCTCAGAATAGAATTACTCATGAATTTGCATGAAAGACTTCCAGAACATTATCCATTGCCCTGCTCACCGTTGCTTAAGTGTACCTCAAACGTGAAGTGCACACATTTGACTTACAATGTTTGTAGGGTTTTGTAACCAACATTTGTGTTCGGGTGAGGCCACGTGGTGGTAGTTTTATGCCAACCTGTGTGTCAGTGACACTCCCGCACCTGATAAGCCTGTCAGTTTTACACAAACATTGTTTCGATGTACCAGTGTATTTATCATGTCTTACTTAATACAGCTTCTTACCAGCGGCTTAGTACTGTGCTTGTCATGATTGAATTAAAATAATATAATTTTTCGCCCAAACTGCTTTGATCTTCATCAGGTAATGAACTCAGAAATTGAGTGGCTGCTTTAACCGACTGTTAGTAACGTATATTCATGAATGTGGGTATTAACAATTTTTAAGTATCTATTAAAACGTGAATTAATGAAGACGTGTACAACATACTGAAGAGCACAAAATGCCAAAGAAAACTAATTCTTATTATTAATAATTCACATCCTTTATCCACTGCTGGATGAAGGCTTCCCCATGCGTTATTGGCCATTGCGGTTGTTCAACCATGAAATCACTTAATATGCATTCCTATTATCACATCTTATTGATTTCGTTATATATATCCATAATATTTAATACGTTTATATTTTCAGTAAAACATTTTTTTTACAATTACTATTTGTATTACTATACAAAGTTGAATGTATCCAGTATTTTATATTCAGTATTACAGTATTAAAGATCGGATAAATGAATTTCAATCATTGACATTTACACATTTCATTAATCATTTAGATTAAGTCCCACTAGCTTCAGCAGAGATAGAAGCGATGAAATCTGCGTATGTGCAGGAGCTAGGCATATTGTTGCATAGTAGGACCATGAAGAGATGGCGTCTTGGAAAGGCCTTCATCCAGCAGTGGATAGATCATGACTGACGATATGCATTTTCAGGTTACACATAATGGAGGCCCATGAAGGCCCATGGAATATAAATTAAAGGGGTCTAGGAAGTAATGGAAAGTATAACTTGGAATTTCCACCCAACTTCATGGCAAGGGGAAGAGGATTTTTTTAAACTGCTCATTGTGCAGTTTGTCCTCAAATAGAAAGTAAAGAGAGTCATTACACAGTCTCTAAAAAGTAAACAAACTCAAACGATTAAATTAAGCCCGAACAGACAGCATTGTGTTCTTTAGGCAAATTGGGTATTACTTTCGGGGGGCATTTCGTAGAGACTGGCAGACATTCGATGAATCACCCTAGGGAACAAAAAGGACGTAGTAAACCATTAACTTATCTCCCATTTGTTTTACATGTGGATTTCCCCAGCACTCATTTAGATCTCAATGGAAAAAAAAAATCCATGGGGTAATTCCCCTGTGACGTCTGCCACTACACAGAGAACAAAGGGTGTTTGCATGGCATGAGAGTGGCACTCCCATAAATACGAGACCAGAGCACCTGGACACAACTACAGCTGAAGCTCATCCAGCAGTCACGATGAAGGCACTGCTCAGCGTCGTCCTCGGTCTTCTCTTCCAGGAGCTCGCTTGCTCCACTTATGTAAGCTACGCGCGCTGTTGCAGGCCAGGATCACTGTCTGACTGAATATATACTGGGTCACTGGTCGACTGGAGTAAGCATCTGCCAAGTAACTACAACCATAATAAGATCTATACTGGAATTGGTGCTGCTGTGTGTTATAATAGACCTGGTTGATATTAAGTGCGGGTTTCCTTAAAACTTTCTGGATGAACGATGGCTAATAGCTAATGATGACATGTTATGCATTCTACATGTATAATCTCCATCAGACATGATGTATCCACTGCTGGATGAAGGCTTCCCCAAGCCATCGCCATCTCTCGTGGTCTTGTAGTCTACTAAGCAAACTTAATGAATTTTGTATAAAATTTGGGAACAATGCCTCTTTAAATATTGCGGTGGATATGCAATTGTGATGTTTTAAAATATGCGAGTGTGCTGTGCTTTCACGTTGCGATCTTCGCTTCCAAGCTGGTCCCTGGCGCCTCCACTAACGGCTCCCGGGATGCGGAGGGCCAGTGCGTGTGTAACGTCTATCTGCCGGACCCCGTCTTCCCGGCCAACACGGTGGAGCAGCTGCAGCTCAGCACCCAGACGATTGCCACGGCCGTCACGGTGGAGTCACAGAAGGTGACCTCTTCTTATTTCACCAGGAGCTTAAACATTGCCCATTAAGCCAACATGAAACATGACTGTGTAGGTTTTCACGGTGGTGCTTGCATAACTCTCCGATGTGTTTTCAGGTCGTACCACGTGTTCTGCATGATGTCTGACGTTTTATGTGATGTTGCTCCACGTATTGCTAGCATGTTCAGGAATTTGATTCTAGAAGCCCACCATCATGCCAAACAAGATGCGTTCCAGCCCGAAAACACATTCAGCCCAACAACACACGTGGAAATCAACACGAAACATTAACTACCGGCGAAACGTTGTACTCGAATTGTAAATGTTGTGGGGTTACTCTCCAACACACCGGTGTACTGAACTTGTAATGAATTGGAATGTTTTTTACGTGAAAAACCTTACTAATCAGATGTGTTTAGTGGTAGCGGGATTAATGACATTTATTTTTACGCGATCTAACCCAAAAAATCATTTATTATGGATAACATGAAACAGTCTAATTCGGAAGGTGTCCTGGATGAAAACATCCAGGTCACTTTGCAAATCGAAAAAAAAGCAAAGTATCGATAACATCAATTTAACATCACAGTCATAAAAAATAACAATCTGCATAATGTATTAAATTAAACACTGAATAAAGTATGCAGCTTATTATTTAATTAGTCAGGATGAAAAAAACCAGTATGGATAGTAAGGCATGAGGACTTCATGTGTGGGGTGCCACGGTGGCGAGATGTTAACTACCTTGGCTGGTATACAGGAGGTCGTGGGTTCGAGCCCGACCCTGACGCCCATATATTTATAGTTTGCATGTTCTCCCCGTGGCGGCATGGATTTTTCTGTGGGTCCTCGGTTTTTTGCCTCTACATTTATAAACATCCGTTTAAGAGTATTTGGCTGCTATAAATTTCCACATGATGATAAGCCACTGGGTTTAGCTATCATTTCTGATGGCCAAGTCGCTTCTGAAAAAAATAGCTATATAGTTCAGTGGGCCTTTATCTGCTAAAATAAAAAAAATGTTTCTTGTTGCATGCCTCGAAAATACTATAACCCTTGTATCGTTACTTTCTGGAAGGTTATCAGTTCATGAATGCTTCGGTACACCGTGACAGACTTTCTATGCAACCATTAGTGATTATCCATGCAGCACAATGCTACAGTAATGCATTTTTAAATTGAGTTATCATATTGTGATGACAATTCCTGGAATCCCTGTAGAAGACCATCATTGCAGGCCTAAAAAATACCATACACTCTCTGGAAATTATCAGTCACCCGTTTCACACTGCAGAGGGCACGACAGTATTTCCCCAAGCAGTGCAGGATGAAGCTTGATGAGGGCCCAGGGCTGCTGCTACAGCTTTAGGGGCATCTCTCTATGTTCCATTTCTTCCAAACTCACGTTTTGTCAACACCCATAGCCCATGTCGACCTCTCCATTGTTATTCATCCCGGTTAATTCAGTCGTGAGTTTTTAACAATAATAATTTACACTTATAAAGCACGTGTCACCCAGAGGTCGCAAGGTACTGCACAGAGTTAAAAGCAAGCAAGTAAATAACTCACGCAATTCTAAAACCTAATATAAGCAGGTAGGCTCATGATTTAACCACAGGCATACATAAAATAGAATGTGGTTTGTAGAGCTAAATCAAAGTTTAAATTAGGAAACTAAATCTCTGTGAGTAATAGCCATTGAGGATTTGGCTGTAATGACTAAATTGTCTCTCGGGCTCATCATTGCGCTGTAGTGTTGTATTTGAGCCGTTCTAAAGCAATTCATATATTTGTGGGAGCCCAGGGCAGTATTTGATAACACCCGGGCATTAACCTGTCCTCAAAGATTCCTTGACGAATCAACCTTTAATTGCATGTATGTTTAACTTCTTTCACACCGTACCTTAGCCAACCGTGCTGTTATAGTCACGCTAAGTTTATATATATGACTACAGCACTGCCAACAACAGTCCCGTACATTTAATATAAATGGTTGTTTATTAAGTCAACACGTGTAAAAGATCGATTGAAATGCGTTGGAAGGAGATAATCTTCAAACTACGCCTGCAGGTGGCAGAGAACCACGCCACGCTGGTGCGCTACACGGCGCTGCTGCGGAACCTGACGGTGCGCGTGGAGCGAATGGAGCAGGGCCATGACCGCTACTCAGAGCTGGACTTTGAGCTGCTGCGGGTGGAGATCAGGGAGATGGAGCAGCTGGTGCAGCAGCTGAAGCTGGAGGTCTCCAGCGCCACGCTCGATCGTCTCCACCTCTCGGTGAGTCACGATTGTCAAAAAGGCACGCAATTGTTTCCATCAGGGGTGTTGTGTTATGGAAATGCTCGTGAAAATGTGTAAAAATACACACATGCTGACAAAAAACTACATTCCTTTGTCATTCCACTCTGGTCATGGGGGTTGTTCGATCATACTGTGCCTCCTAACCATACTTCATCGCCCTGGTCAGTGTGGGCTGGTGAGTCGGAGGGGAAGAGCATGGAGACAGAAACCGTGCATAAATCACTCCGATATTAAATGGCCTTTCTTAGTGAAATTGCTTGCAAAGGAATGAGGAATTGTTACTATGTTAAACCACAATGGTTTATTACATCACTGCTGTCCTGGAGATAATGTTTTAATGTCCTATGTCTAATTGCTATTAGGTTGTAGAAAGGGTGTCAGTTCTCAATACTCTTGGATATTTATTTACGTGTTCCACACATGTGCACTTTCTTCAATAAACATACTGCCCACCATTACAGGTCATACACGTGCTTAATTACAGAGCCTATGGTTGCAATTTCACAGGGTCGGGGGTTCCTATTTTAATGTACACAACAGGGGTAGGCAAGTGCCTAACACGTGACAGTGTAAAGACATGAGCATGTTAGTTAATGGAGTTTTCATGTAATTTGACAAGATGTGGGTGCCAGGATCACTGGGCCTGGGGTTCCTGGATGTATGGGGGGGTGGGGGTTAAAGGGTTCAGGGTTGCAGCTTCCAAGTATTATTCACCATTCACATATTTGAAAAAAAAGTGAATATCACGTTTACTGTATGATATAAAATACACTGGTAGGTTATGAAAACGAAACAAGATTTTTAATAAAAATACTTTGTTAGAGCTACCTGAGGTTATGATTAGAAGATTTTTTTCCTCCGAATGAAGTGTATTTTTAAAGAAACATATCAACGTATTAAAGATTGATTATACAAATGTAATCGTGCCTTATATATGAAAAGTCATTTTCTTTCAGAGAAGGAAGCGTAATACTGATTACTATTCATTGTTGTAAATGTTCAGTGCAGCAACTCATAACACAACTTGCTATGTAGCGGTGAATTTAGCAGTTTCACGTGAAGACATATGCAGGCAGCTCAATTAAAATATATCTGGACTGGAATTATAGTTTACTGCTTCTGCCTTAAAATAAGACACCACGTGAATATGGCTTATATGGATACAATGTTGCTGTTATCGCTTTGAGAGGGTTGTTCTCCTGGCACTCCAGTTCTCACATGGCAGAGCAGGAGGCAGGTCAAATGTCAGACAGAGCGAGGAAAACCAACTTTATGGGCGGGAATAGTGAGTGAGTGGGCGTGGCCATGTAAGAGTAGGTGGGGCTGATGGAGGGAGGGCCCTACCAGCTCAGCACATGTCCCATTTTAGTCTCCCAGACATTTGGTAGCCCTTCCCCTACAGTTGACTGTCACGTGCAACAATATTTTAGAAGTGTTTCTACTTCGCAAACAGAAGTCCTGAAATATTCATATCACTCATTGAAGATTTCTGTCGTATATAAATCTAAATTTTTTTTTATAACACTCATGATGCAATGTATTATAACTCCATCTTGGTCAACAGATCCAGAACGTCAGCGTGGTGGTGAACACGCTGGAGAGGTACGACAGGAACAACGTGCTGCTCATCCGACGCCAGGTGGACACTCTGCGCAAGCAGCTGCAGGACTGCCAAGAGGAGGCCTCTAATGCTGGCCAGCCCCCCGGCAGCAATCCTGGCCAGCAGCCCCCCATAGGTGAGTTCCATATATCAGTGGTTCTCTTCACCCTATACGTCCACTGCAGTAGATAGGGGTAGGGTTAAGTGCAATACAAGTGCAACTCAAATACAGCAGAAATACAATAATCGGTGATGCCATAATCCATAAATCCCTATAATTTGTGGATTATTGGCTGTTCGCAACCATTCCTGCATCCGTGGCACACCGTGTGAGATTGAATCCTCTTTTGTAGACAGCCAACCACGAACATTAGACGTGGCCATGGTTCTTCAGAGCTGCAGGAGTCGGAGCTGTTGGGAAATTCTGAGCTAAGCTCTTTTTTTACTTTGCATTTATTTGTTGCATCTGCACATCCTAGTTGTCCTTAATAGAAAATGTTGTTTGCATTTTTTTGACTTGTGTTAGATTTTTCTTTTACTGCTAAATCCCTCAATATCGACCCCATATGGCAGATTCCCCCCCTACCTCTTCTTCCAGACACAGGGTTGGACTTGTTTGGGTGGTGGTGGTGAGGGTTGTGGAGGGTGTGGGGGAAGTGTGCACAAAGCAATGGTAGTGACCAGGGACTTGTAGAGGTAGGGGTGGAGGTTGTGGAAGGGGGGTACACAGCAGTGGTAGTGGTGACCGGGGACAGCAGTGGGTATGGGTGGGTGGAAGCAGTCGGGGCGGGGTGGCTTCGCGATGACGACCAAAATCCCTCTTAGAGCAGCAATATAGCAATTGTGTGTCTAAAATGTCTCCCTATTAGTTTAGTGGAGTGTATATAAGTGGATTACCCTGGAAATATTAAAAAAGTTAAAGTAGTAAGATCTTGTGTGGCCCTGACTAAACAATCCTGGTGTTACACTCATCCATTGGTCGTGATGGACATTACCGATTCCTGTGGTGGCGACCTAGATTTAAGTTGTATATTTGTATTAATAAAACATTTTACGTGTTTGATCATTTTAAAATCATAATTAGAAATTTCAATGAACTTTTTCTCCTAATGGAAACGTAAAAAACATTTTCTAAAGTGTGTTTTCTTTGCAGGCTCATGCGTGCACGGTGGCTTGCAGAACGTCAGCACACCATATATTCACATTCTGAACATGCAAGGTGCAGCGTTCCAATATGGCGCCTTTGGGAAAGACCCACTCCCACTGAAGGGACGTGAGGATGTGTACTGGGTGATAACCAGCAATCAGGTTTACTTTACTGTGATGCAGATGTTTGCTAACTACCGGGCACTGCAGACGTATGTGCTGATGGAACAAAAGACCCTTTCTTGTGGATCTGATTGTGGTTATGGAATGGATGCAGTGATGTACAAAAATCACATGTTTTACAGATGCTCTACTGGTGTTTCTATTTGCAAATATAACCTGACAGCCTCCACTATTACCAGAGTAAATCTCCCCCAAGCGTCAGGAAGCAATTTGTATCCTTACCTGGGCTCTACCTATTCTGATATGGATTTCTCTGTGGATGAACAAGGTCTGTGGGTCATTTACTCAGTTGATGGGAAGTTGTCCCTTGCTTTACTTAATGATACTTCCCTTGCTGTTATCGGCAGCTGGACCACCACGCAGTACAAACCCTCGGTTAGCAATGGCTTCGTGGTGTGTGGAGTCCTGTACCTCACGCGCACTTCTAGCCTTAAAACTGAGGAGATCTACTTTGCATTTGACACCAAAACTAACCAAGAGAGGTTAATGAGCATCGTGATTTCGAAGCCCTTGGAAAAGATGAGCAGCCTTAACTACAACCCAGCTGATCACAAGCTGTACATATATAATCAGGGATATTTGGTTACTTATGATGTGACCTTTAAACCCATATAATTGATAACAATAATACGTAGTTCTTTAGGGCTTTCATTGTATGAGAGCTTCAACAAATAAATCTGTAGAGTATGATTGATAGTTGCCAAGGGCATATACTGCACCATGTAATATTTCAAATGAGCGTGCATCGGTTATTTGTTTGCCTCATTTCAAATATATGATGCTGCACCATTTGTAGACCTAGACAAACTCCTGGTGTGACATACATAGAAATGATATCAAACAAACGTTATGCTCCAATTATGACAACCCAATGCATGGATGCTGTGAATGTGGCATTGGTGTTTATTCAGTTCGGTATTTGTTGTTGTTAACGTCATTTAAACAGAAATAAAGAAAACATTTCTTGCGCAACTCGGGAGTTGGTCACCAACCAGTATGTTGAATTCTAGATTTAAAGCTTTCGTGACTGCAAGGCTTCATATTCTTAGGTTTTTTTCGGTAAAGTCACGTAGGTAAAAAAATTAAATTAATGAAAGTAAAATAAAAATAAAATAAAAATCACGACGTTTCGGAGGCAACACAAGCTTCCATCTTCAGGTGGAAACGTCACAGCACGATAGCTGTATCAAGTGAGAGAAATTCCAAGAACACAGTATTTGTATATATACTGGTTGAGGGTGGGAGGAGCCAAGGTAGGTCCTGAATATTATTTTTGTGAGGTTCGGTGCGGCTGAAGCACGCTGTTAGGAATGAGCCTTTGTTGTGTAAACTAGGTGCGGATGATGTAAAGGTGCGTGTAAAAGGGACAGCCTTTTTGTTATGTAGAGATGATGCGGCTGAAATCGCTGCCAGGAAATGAGTCTTTGTTGTGTATAATGGTTGACTGAGCCTATTATTATGTAGAGGTGGTGCGGCTTAAATCGCTGTCAGGAAATGAGTCTTTGTTGTGTAGAATGGTTGACTGAGCTCATTCTACACAACAAAGACTCATTTCCTGGCAGCGATTTCAGCCGCATCATCTCTACATAACAAAAAGGCTGTCCCTTTTACACGCACCTTTACATCATCCGCACCTAGTTTACCCAACAAAGGCTCATTCCTAACAGCGTGCTTCAGCCGCACCGAACCTCACAAAAATAATATTCAGGACCTACCTTGGCTCCTCCCACCCTCAACCAGTATATATACAAACTAGCATAAGTACCCGGCGTTGCCCGGGTGAAAAATATATTTCTTAATAACCTTACATATATACACAGATGGGCTGCTACCCCTGCCCCCCCCCCCCCAGCCACGATCTCCTCCGCCGCTGTGCAGTAATATGTACGGCCTATAGTGTGGTGGGGTGTCGAGGCCTAGTACCGTGCAGAGCCTCTGGCCTCGCCTAAATTGCCCACCCGGCTGAGGCTGGGTACCGGGGCCGTTACCCCCCCCCCCCCGCGCTACAATAATGCTGTCTAATCGCTATAATTTAATTATCTACCGACCCTATAATAGTAATTGCACACATTGGGGTGGCGGGGGAGTGAAGAGGACGTGAAACTTTGATGAATTTACCTCAGAGTTGCGTGGTGGGTGTCGAGGCCTAGTATCGTGCAGAGCCTCCGGCCTCGCCTAAATTGCCCACCCGGCTGAGGCTGGGTACCGGGGCCGTTACCCCCCCCCCCCCGCGCTACAATAATACTGTGTAATCGCTATAATTTAATTATCTACCGACCCTATAATAGTAATTGCACACATTGGGGTGGCGGGGGAGTGAAGAGGACGTGAAACTTTGATGAATTTACCTCAGAGTCGCGTGGTGGGTGTCGAGGCCTAGTATCGTGCAGAGCCTCCGGCCTCGCCTAAATTGCCCACCCGGCTGAGGCTGGGTACAGGGGCCGTTACCCCCCCCCCCCCCCCCGCGCTACAATAATACTGTGTAATCGCTATAATTTAATTATCTACCGACCCTATAATAGTAATTGCACACATTGGGGTGGCGGGGGAGTGAAGAGGACGTGAAACTTTGATGAATTTACCTCAGAGTCGCGTGGTGGGTGTCGAGGCCTAGTATCGTGCAGAGCCTCCGGCCTCGCCTAAATTGCCCACCCGGCTGAGGCTGGGTACCGGGGCCGTTACCCCCCCCCCCCCCCGCGCTACAATAATACTGTGTAATCGCTATAATTTAATTATCTACCGACCCTATAATAGTAATTGCACACATTGGGGTGGCGGGGGAGTAAAGAGGACGTGAAACTTTGATGAATTTACCTCAGAGTCGCGTGGTGGGTGTCGAGGCCTAGTACCGTGTAGAGCCTCCGGCCTCGCCTAAATTGCCCACCCGGCTGAGGCTGGGTATGGGTGCCGTTCCCCCCCCCTCCGCGCTACAATAATACTGTCTAATCGCTATAATTTTATAATCTACCGACCCTATAATAGTAATTGCACACATTGTGGTGGGGGGGGGAGTGAAGAGGACGTGAAACTTTGATGAATTTACCTCAGAGTCGCGTGTTAATGCGTGCGCCTATTTTTAACGGGAATTAAAAATGGCGTCCACCCCGTGGTGAATGCGTCGCTACCCGTTGCCAGGGGCAACCGCCGGACCAATCGTATCTCGCAAATCCCTGACATTTCGTCCAATGAAACTGCGTATGGTCCGATACACAGACACACAGACAGACAGACAGATTTGCGATTTTATATATATAGATACTGTGTTCTTGGAATTTCTCTCACTTGATACAGCTATCGTGCTGTGACGGTTCCACCTGAAGACGGAAGCTTGTGTTGCCTCCAAAACGTCGTGATTTTTATTTTATTTTTATTTTACTTTCATGAATTTTTTTTTTTTACCTACGTGACTTTACCGAAAAAACCTAAGAATACAGTATGTTGAACTTATTTCGCGCCATACATAGACAACCGTGTTAATCAGAGGTCGTGGGCATTAAGGGGTAGCAACGTCACTGTGCACTGCGTTTTAGCCACAATGCAGCCGCCTCAACAAGAACAAAGGGTGGCCCAGCTATGCAACTACCGATCTCCTACACTGCACCGACAACAGATGCAACTGACGTGATGTACATGATGTTGCAGTTAACAATAAACAGGCAACAACAAACTTAACTCGACGATGCACCTGTCGCACACAGAGACCCATCAAACGCAACTGCACTTAGACACCATGCCACGCACTGTCATATTGTAGGGGGCTGTACAAGATAAGGTTCTGGAAGGCGCGCGTTGAGATGATTGGAAGCAGGTGGCTGGATGGCACTGTGAGCATGATTCTATTAAGGACACACGTGTGAGAGTCAAGTGCGTGGTGCGGTGTGTGAACATCGCCACGAAGGAGACAAACGCGGCCGAGCGTGGTGCTGGCCACCCACCCCGTCGTGTGCCGTGCCGGCCTTCATAGGTGCTGCTCGCTAACAGCACTTGCCCCTACAGTCTGTAAAGGCTACACGGGGGGTCTTTGTCTTTTTTGGTGTCTGACCACTCGTTCATTGTCGTCAAACTACAGCGGCGGATGTAAAACAATCGGCCTGCTTCCAGTAGCGGCTGGAGATGTCGTCGACACAACTTCAGCAGCGACAGTTTCATGACCAACCTTGAGCAGTCTGTTTTGTTTAATAAATCTGACGTGCCGCTCTTTTCACCTGCTCACTGCCATTTATGGATGGTTCTTCACGAGGATAAAGATCGGCGCCACGGTACGGTCGAGGCTGTCGCCTCGTGATAGCAACTCGCCATTGGCACGAACGCAGTGGCGGCTCCTGCAAAATCTCTCAGGGGGGGCAAATGTCTGGATGATTGATAAGGATAAGGTCCACCCATGCAATGGATAAATTAACAGCTTAAGCATGTAAAGGCAACTTCACTTCTTTAATAATAATGAAAAATAAAGTGACTCTTACAATACATCTTGTTTGTTTCTATACTCACTATTAAAACAAACCACTCAAGTTTTATTTTATTAAAAATTCCACTAGGTGGCAACAAATTATATTGTTGGATGGAACGTGCTTACGTATGATGACGTAAGCACGTATGATGACGTAAGCACGTATGATGACGTAAGCACGTTAGGGCGAGCCCTCCCGGAAGCCATAGAGAATGCATTGCAGCGCCCCCGTTCGAAAAAAAGCATCTTTCAATGTAAGTCTATGGGGCCACTCGGGCGATTCTCAGCCGGAGTGAAATCGCCCAAAAAGAGGCGGTACTCCACAGAACGTGACATGACGCTGATTGGACTATATCCAGAGGCTGCAGTGACGGCTAGCGTGACTGTGGTTTAATGACATTGGTGGTGCGTCGCCCAATCGCCCTAATGAAGAAACCGCCCCTGCACGAACGGATGTAAAATGCTCCGATCAAATCTGATTGTTACTCCTGCAAGCCGCCTTGCACAACCTGCCGCATCAAAGTTGATTTCCAAAGATGCTGTCAAGTACATTGGGACAAAGGTCGATGTCTATATTGTACAGTCATACCTCGGTATACGGTATACGACCGCTTTGGAATATGTCGAATTTGGTATACGTCGTGTTTTGACGAGAAAAAAATGTCTTGGGATACGACGTCTTGCTTGGGATACGACGCGCTTGCTAGAACTTGTATGGGTCGGGATGAGTCACCGCGTACCCGCCGCGTAGACCCCGTTCACCACTCCTCCCCTTCCTCACCACCATCCTCGTAGGCTATCAACTCCTCTCAGGAAGGTAAAGTGACGTTGAATTTTATTTCAATATATTTTAATTTATGCATTTATTTTAATTTATGTATGCATTTAGTAATAAGTAGTGTCTAAGTAATTTTATAAAACCCCATTAATGTATAATATGCCATATAAAATAACATTTCTTATACTCTGGAACGGATTATTTCCTTTCCCTTTATTTCTTATGAGAAAAAAACGTTTGGTATACGTCGTTTTCGGTGTAAGTCCTACCTTCTGGAACGAATTAACGACTTATACCGAGGTACCACTTTATATCTTTTTGCAGTTTCTTACGAAAATGTAACTACGTGCTAAAAAAATACCGCTTAATGAAACAAAAATAATATGAATGACATCTCTATATATAAAAGGAAAATGTGCGAATGTGTATCTGTTTAAAATGTTTAGCATACTTCCCGACATGCAACAAACTTGAAATTTGTCATGTGGATACTTTCCAGACTGTAAATCATGCAAAAATAAAAAAAATAGACTTTTGTATTTTTTGGGGGAGAGGGGCGGCTCAATAATGCATATTTTTTTGCACGCTAAGTGAGCTGTGACGTCACATCTGTCATGTGACCCGCGCACGTGGAAGCGTAACGCAGTGTGCCTGCTCATGTCACGCCCCCTCCAACCCTCCGCGGCGCGAGTAAAGTGCCATACAAATGTGA